TGTTGTTGTATACAACTCCACTTAATGCCCAGGAGAGAAAAGAACAGCTTTTTATTATTTTTGCTGTCGTTGAATCATATATCATACAACTGTGTATGACTATTAATTTGACCACTACTACATCTGTCGTATCCCAACCGGCTTCATAAATCCTGGTATTTGACGGATGGCCACGTCGGTACTGGATACAGTATACATGGTATTGTGACCGACATATTTTTATACATTCTTTACATTCACAAGTTTTTAGAATTAGGAATATTGTTTTATTTTATTTGGAATAATTTCGGGCTTTTGTTTTTTAAAGAGAGTTTAAAATTTACAGAAGGGTACGAAAGAAAAGCATGGCCAAGGCAATATTTTAATGAAAGTATTAAATAACTTTCCTGAAATAAAAAATATATACATTTCGATTTTTTAATTTGGGGCCTCTGGTGGTCAACCTAAGCAAAAGGAGTGAACATTGAGTTGTTTACATTTGGAATATCTGTAACTTGATTTCATGAAGGACGTAAAATTCAGTTTATAAATGTTATTCCAAGTGTGGAACTCCAATGAACCTTACTATTTTTATGTATTTCGGGGATTTCTATAGTATCATGTGTGAAATCAATATGCTGCCAGAAATCATTGTCAGGGAACTTGTTAAGATCGATAGTTGTCTTCCGAATCCTCGAGACATTGTAGTGTATTTACAACGAGAGAAAAATTTGAAAACGTAATTTATATTTCAAGTTATATTAATTTGTCGATTATATACCATCTTACAAGAGTTCAAATCATTCAGGTGTTATCACGAAGTAAAATCGTCTAGAAAACTATTTCTAAATAAGAGATCAACTTTTTTTTTCTTGTCAACTGATAATTTTATCTTTTCTTGGCTTTCTGTGCAGCTTCTGCAGCGGGTTTCACAAATTATTCTAAACAAAATTTGGATTTGTTACATCAAGTGAGTTTCTAAGTTCAGCCTAAACAATTCGACATTTTCATATCTGTTTACACAAAATATTCAAACTGGAGTTTTTAGCTTAGCCTCAACAACTACAAACCAGAAATACAAATTAAATGAATAGTTTTTTTCTGCGCTTCCAAGTGATTAATTACATCTACTAACAATAAAGATAAATTTCCTCACCGTTAAAATCTTGCTGGAAACAAGAATTTTACAGAAGAAATCAGGATTGGTTACATTTTATGAACATTTTTTTGCATATGACAAGGAGGTGACGTGTCGCCACAGATGCGAGCCTGGTGCCATGGGCGACACATTCGTACCTATATTTTTGGTTCAGGTCAAACTCCTGATCTTTCGACAGTGCAATGACGTAACTGGTGTTCATACTACCCCATTCTCCGACACATATTTAGGTCATCGGATTGCACAAACACTGACTTCTGTACATTTCATTTGCTTATATGTGGTCTTGGAAGTCGATGTCCTCATACACTGTGAGGTCTATGGAGATTTTGTTAAAACCAGGTGTTCTAGGACTATCCGCCACTGAAGCAAGTTGCGGTGTCGGTAGAAGTATGTAACCCAAGACATCAGACATGGCTGATGGAGGTGTTATTGTTGTCAAGCTCAAAGCTACACAATGGGCTATTTGCGATCTCCGCATCACTTGGATCGAAACCTGATTATTAGCGTCGTAAGCTAGTGGATATCGCTCAGCCAGTGAGGAGAAGTGGGTGATGGAGGAAGTAGTTATAAGGGCAACGTGAGACCTGGAACCCTGTTCTTATGAAGTGTAATTTATTTTTACAAAGTTAGCCACAACCTGGTGGTTAACGTATTAGACGATTGGGCCGAGGGGTTTGTGGTTCGTGTCCCATTACCGCCAAAAATATATCCTACTCCACACTGTGAAGCCCAGGGTACGTTATAAGAGCGATGTCAGATTTTGTTATTCAGTCTGAAATGAATAACCCAAAAGCTGGCATGGGGTGGTATTGACAAAGTGCCCTCCCTTTGTGCGAATTACAACACGTTTCACACATCCTTTAGCAAAAAATAAACTTTACAGAATGTTTTCAGTTTTTATTTTAGTAGTACGAATGAAAATAACATTACAACTAGTTTTATTGCTATTTTTTGTATATTTTTAAACATTGGGGATTTTATTCAACTCCCTAATGTTTAAATGTATACAATATAAAACGAAGCAACTACTCCAGTCAAGGCATCATAAATCGATTTGAACACATATTTACATGTGCTGCCCTCTAATGACATAAAATTAAAACAACACTTTTTAGACGCCGAATAATATTAACGATATATTAAATACCATTTATCAAGGAAAAACAAACTTAGCTCAATATAATGAATTTTTCAATGATATGCTAAAGATTTTAGTTATTATATTTTCTATTAATTAATAGCATTGCGAAAAGAAACAAACAAAATAGCCCCCCCCCAGTGGTACAGCGGTATGTCTGCGGACTCACAACGCTAGAATCCGGATTTCGATACCCGTTGTGGGCCGAGCACAGATAGCCCATTGTGTAGTTTTGTGCTTAATTCCAAACAAACAAAATATTTCACTTTATATTTTAAATAGGACGTACATAAACAATTAAAAGTCGCTTCTCACAGTAGGATTCTAATGTCTAATTTCTTGTAAATCATTAAGTTAAAGGCAAACAATCAACTCGCCACTTATTATTAGTTATAAAGAACTAGAATATGACAGCAGTGAAGCTGAAAATGACTAGTTACGTTTGTAATCAATGTTAGACTATCTGTGCCATCAACATTTTTTAAAATTAATTTCGGAAAGTTTAAATGTTGTTATTTTATCTCTGTATTGGGTAAACTTTACAATCTAATTCACTATTTTCTGTAGGAGTCTAACCTCTATTTTAACATAGACCTTAGATACTTCATATTGTAAATTTCTATAATATCTATAAATAACTTTAATTAAAATCAGTACGCAGTTTCAAATTTATCAAATACATACATAATAATCTTAGAGGCGTAGCCAAGGGGGACTGTCCCCCTGAAAAATCTAGGCCCATTGATCACATATTATTCTTCAGCTTTTTATATATAATATACTCGTTTTGGATCATTTAATAAAATTATGATAAAACTTCAATAAAGACTGTTACATTTGATTTGTTTCAATGACCATTTTATTAAAAATTTAGATCAAAAATTTGGCTACGCCACTGAATAATCTTGAGGGAAAGAAAGATCTTTCGAAGTATTGTAATTCACATAAAAAATATTATTATGAATAAATATACTACGCAAAAAAATATTCACATACTTAGTTATTGTGGCTTTTTCCCTCTATTTCTTCTGGTCTCCTAAAAATGATGGAATATTTTCTGCCGAAACTTTTTAATTGTATATTTTACTCGTAATTTATAGAATAAATTTTTGTGCATTTTGAAACGTTGAATGTTTTTATTTATTTAATAATATTTTGACTCTTAAAAAACTCAAACTTTAGAGATACATCATGAATATGTTATTAAACAATGTTTGTTCTGCTGTAATAATGTGAATTGTTTTATAACTTTATTAAAGTTGTCGTGTTTTCTTTTTTGTTGTGTTGTTTTTACTACTTAATAGGCTAAAGCAACTGACATTGCAAAATACGTTCTAAAAAATCATTATATTTATTGTCATTTTTGTAGTCCGAGGACTGAAATTAAATGAGATCACAAAAACAAGAGTAATCAGAGAGATTACAGCCCCGCTGCTCCTTTTCGAGATTGCATGCGTTTATATTGAATAACGCCAAACTTCACCTCCGAAAACTCAGAAAATCCTTTTCAGATCCAGAATGATCAGCGATCCGGATCATTTCTTTGTATTGTGATGAGGAGTCTCAAACCTTATGTGCCCATGAAATTTGGTACAAAATGAGATCACACTTTACATAGTTATTAACCCAAAAGCGCAAAAATGCTTCAAACTGATCCAGAATCCGGATCCGGAAGTGAACCAAATTTGGAGAGGACTGTCCCACACTGACTTCTCATCTTGTGTAAAATTTTCGTTTATATCGGTCTATTAGTTTTCGAGATACATACGTGGAAACACAGACAGACACTAACACACACACACACACACACCAGACCCGATTGCAATACCCTCGCCCCCGAAGGGGGTCGAGGGTAAAAAAAATAAACTTAATATTCGAAAGAAGTAGTCGCTGTTTCTTTGCTTTTGTTGTTTTTTTAGCGGATACAGCAGTCTAGAAGTATCATATTTTGAATAATTGATTAACACCAAAACCTTCAAAATATAGGCTTTTTAGTGATATACATAAACAGGTAGTTTTTGTTTGTTTGTTTGTTTTTCTACACACTGTTTCTGGTTATACATACATCATAAATGATATTTGTGTATTTTAAACACTAGATTGTTGTTTGTTTGTTTTTTCTACACACTGTTTCTGGTTATACATACATCATAAATGATATTTGCGTATTTTAAACACTAGACTGTTGTTTGTTTTTGTTTACTACACATTGTTTCTGGTTATACATACATCATAAATGATATTTGTGTATTTTAAACACTAGATTGTGGTTTGTTTGTTTTTTTACACACTGTTATACATACATCATAAATGATATTTGCGTATTTTAAACACTAGATTGTTTGTTTGTTTGTTTTTCTACACACTGTTTCTGGTTATACATACATCATAAATGATATTTGCGTATTTTAAACACTAGATTGTTGTTTGTTTGTTTTTCTACTCACTGTTTCTGGTTACACATACATCATAAATGATATTTGCGTATTTTAAACACTAGATTGTTTGTTTGTTTGTTTTTCTACACACTGTTTCTGGTTATACATACATCATAAATGATATTTGCGTATTTTAAACACTAGATTGTTGTTTGGCTAGTGTTTAAAATACGCAAATATCATTTATGATGTATGTATAACAGTGTGTAAAAAAACAAAGTAGAAAAACAAACAAACAACAATTGTATGTATAACCAGAAACAGTGTTTATAAATGATATTTGCGTATTTTAAACACTAGATTGTTGTTTGTTTATTGCAAGTTTACCAAAAAATGTTTCTCACAAGCAGGAATTATGGTAATCTGGTCGAAATTATTTTTAAAAAATCAACCAAGAAACTTAAGTTTTACAACAGAGAATAATAAAGGTGCGATGAGAGCGTTTTAGTGAACCATAAGTTTCTCTGCTACGCCCCCCAGTGGCTCAACGATAAGTCTAAGGGCTTATCTCGCTAAAAACCTGGTTTCACTACCTGTGGTAGGTGTAGCACAGATAGTTCATTGTATTGTTTTGCGCTTAAAAACAAACAAACAAACAAAACTGTCTGCTATAAACAGTTTACGTTCCTGCTCTAAGCGTCCAACTACTGCTTCAATTTACAGAGTTTAGGCTACTCTTTTAGAATTCAGGTATTAGTTTTCAGACCGATCAAAAGTTAGGAACATTTCATTTAATTGTTTGTTTGTCTGAAGTTAAGCACAAAGCTACACAATGCTCTGCCTACCACGGGTATCGAAACCCGGTTTCTAGCGTTGTAAGTCCGCAAACATACCGCCGTACCACTGGAGGGCGATTTCACTTAAAATTGTATAGCTATATGAAAATAAGCATATTTGAAAATACAATTACCTTGAGATCAACATCGTGTTTAATTAATTGTAAAAATGTGATCTTAGACAAGTTATTTTATTAAAATGTTGTACAAACAACTTAGTGAAATTTTAAAGTTTATTTTTGTGCGACGTAAAACAACAATCACCAAGTTTTCATTTATTAATATCAATAAAAAAGAGGATATTTCAATACCCGGTAATTTCAATACCCGGTATTCACCAATCTGATTTTTAGGCCTTGGTGGAAATTTAGTAGAAAATTGAAGAACGAAAAATAAAAGTTCAGAAAAATAGGTTGTTGTTTGTTATTAAGCACAAAGCTACACAAAGGGGCTATCTGTGCTCTGCCCACCACGGGTAATGAAACCCGATTTTTAGCGTTGTAAGTCCGCAGACATGCCGCTGTGCCACTAGGGGGCAAAAAAAGAAAATTAAAGAACTAAAAAAAAAGTGGCAGTAATTTGCAGGCCTTAAAACTGTGAGATAGCGAATTCTGTTTTTATTTGGTTTTCTTTATCGTTGCTTCATTATTTCTTCTATCGTTTAGTTTATCTATGAATTTTTAGTTACACTTAAGATTGACATCAGTTTCCCATAGCGGTGACATACTGATATTATTTAATGATACACAAAAGTATGTAAACAACGTATAGATATTATTACGTATCTGCTTGTTTGTTAATTTCCGGTATAAATTCATTCCGAGGAACTTCAGCAATACAAGTCCTTTCTTAATTAAAACTAGTTTATGCTTTCTGGATACAACTTTTGTAATGCACAGAATTTCCACAGTCACTTTAAACTTAACAACCTTTATAACACCCGCTATAAATCATAGTGATTCACACACTTTACTTACGGTGCCTACTGTTCGCTTGAGTCAATTATCTCTATCTTCAATCTATCTGCATGTCTATCTCTCGCTGGCTTTATTTGAAGGGCTTATACACTAAAAAACAGGTCGTCTGGAACAAACTCGGGCTTCCCCGATAATTCACGATTTTTCCTGAAACTCCAGCGCGCATGCTCCCAGCGTCACGCGACTTCCGCTGTCGTAACAATATTTTGCACAGATTATGTATATTACGATCCCATGATTTGTAATTTCGTGATCTAACATGTGAATAAAAACCCTACACTGAACTGTAACAAATTAGTTCACGAGATATAGCTGAACAGTATTATTGGTGTCTATTATTTGAGGTTGTTAAAGATTTTGTAGTTTAAATACGTAATACTGTGGAATTATTTTTTATTTACTTGTATTATTTGTACCTGCTTCCTTTATTTATTGAAATATTTATCTACCTGGATTTATATATTGCATTGTTTATTAACATTAGGTTCAAGTTCTGGCCAGGTACATATCTTTCAGTGTGCTTTGGTAAGTTTTTAACTGGTATTTCAAAGTTCTCATAGTTTTGAGTATTTGTTCCAACGCTTTAAATACAATTGGTGATACTAGTGTAGGAGTTAAGCGTTTATAGTTTGTTAGGTGTGATGGGTGTAATGAGTGGGTTTTATATGGAAATTCGGGGTTGGTGTGTACTTTTAAGGAAGCTAACAGTGAAGCTATGCAATTAGTTTATAGAGCTTGTACATTGGAGGCTATCCTAATTAAAGTAGAGGCAAAAATAAAGAAAAGTGTAGACTGTGGAAATGGCAGCTTAAGCTTTTACATGCAAGGGATACATCAGCTAACAATTACTTTCAGGAAGTTGGAAACTGTATATGAGAGCTAAAAGTAGCAGGTTTAATCGTAATGAGCATGTTCCATTGAGCAACAGGTTTCAGCCCTTGGCTTGTGCAGATGAGGAAATATTGGAGGGAAGGAAAACAAATGGGTAGAGAATGATATGGATGATAAGAAGGTTATAGTTGTAGGTGATTCCTTATAAGGCATGTGGATAGGATAGGGGTAAATAGATTATGCTAACCAAGGGCACAGGTGGAGGATATAACTGACAGAGCAAGAGATATAATAAAGGGGTTAAAATGATGCAGTTTTTGTTGTGCGTGTAGGGGCTAATGATGTAGG